ACATGATGCCCACGCATAAGTCTGTAAAGAAAATGGTTTTCCCAGTTTAGTGTGGAAGATTGACCTCCACAGGGCCTTGATCTCAAACCTATCCAACACTTTTGGGATGAAGTGGAACTGTTAGCCGGGCCTTATCACACGACCTCACTATACACTAATACTCTTGTGGCTGAATGGGAGCAAATCCCTGCAGCGAGTGAGACTGCAGCAAATGAAAGCCCCTGGTTTCTGGAATCACATGTTCAACTATCACATATGGATGTAATGTTTAGATGTCCACACACTTTTGGCCATCTGGTGTATCTTCACATGAGTCAGCAGCCAGAGTAATAGTCTGTTAAACTGAAGATCATCAAACGGGAATCAGCTATCAGATTGGAGTTGACTTTAGAGAACTAATGGGTGCATTAGGACTGGTGTGTTTGCACTGAAACACAGTCACTGTGCCATTTATTTACACCGCTTTCTGCTCAGGCCAACTCTACATATTTAATACTGGATATTACTCCTGTCACGGTGAAGCTGTCTGTTTAGTTTAGCTGAAGTGTTTATTAAAGTAGGATAAGATGTCAATCTGCAAGCGGCTGTTGTCCAGCTGAACATCCTCGCACACACATCCGCTTGTTCTCACCGTCTGCTCTTTACTAACAAACAACAAGCCTTTCTCACGGCAGACATTTTGACCTGTCAAACACAGGTGTAACTCATTACACCCACAATGGCTGCATTCCATTTAGGTGTGCTGGCTTACTGGCACACCCACCTGTAAATGGAGCACCTGTTTTTTTCCTGCTGTGACTGTTTAAAATATCTGGTCTGAATCTGTTTCTTTTCTACCGGGTGCGTTTTACACAGCAGGGAAACATATTCATCAAGTATGATTATGTGATCAAAGCCAGTGGTTTAAAAATGACATTTCAGTGTCGTAAAGTTTGACCTTTAGTTGAACCGCTATCAGCTACCCAGCTTTCACTGTGGTCTGGCTGCCACATATTTTATTTGTCATTGATTCCCTGTTTCTAAATAACCTCAAACATACAGTATCAATTTACGCTGACACTGATATATCTGATATAGCATCAGATTGAACAATTATCATTTATTAACCCATAATAAGACAATCTTACACAAGTTGGCTTAGCATCACACCCTGCACACTTGTAATTGTCATGTTTTATTTGTTTCATTTGATTTAAAGGCTCCGATAACTCAGTTTTCTCAGTATGTGAATGCACAATATTCAGATCCAAACAATTACATACACTCTGTTTTTGAGCAGAAAAAGCTTCTTTTTTTAAAATAATGAATATGAATATTGTTGGAAAACATCTGTACTAACCACAGTCGATGTGATTATTTGTACAGTGGAAAAGATAATAATTTAGTTTGTAGATCCTCTTTAATGTCGTGAAGAAACACTAGTAGTAAAGATTTGAAACCAAGTCAGGGGCTTTGAAACCGCCTTGAACAGAATTAAACCATTTGCCAAATGACATTTGTTCTATTTGTCTTTTACATTGTAGATGCTCCTTTTGTACTGTTTAAGAATCTATTCATAAAGCTTTAAACTAGACCCCATATTGTGATGGGGTCACACAAACCGCAACGCCCGTCAACATGAGTGCTCAGTAGGTAGTTAATTACTACATTATTACGTGAGTAATACACTACATACTGCTACAGTAGGCATCTAGACACACACACACACACACTCTGACTCACAAGGTGAAAACACTACCAGGCGCACACTGTTGTGGCTGGTTTTAAAAAAAAAAGAAGCAGAATCTTTCAAGAGAGAATCACTGTGTCGAGGGCAGCACGATGATGGCCCAAATGATAATCATGATTATTTTGATCAATACTGAGATCACAATTATTTCCCGATTGACTCTGCAGTATGAGGAAATGTTGGGTTCTTGTTAGCAGTAACTCAATACAGCATTTTGTCCAGGAATAAAAGTATCGAGGCTGCAGCTGCAGGGTGTGTGTGTGTGCAGCGACAGGACAGCTCCCCAAAAGTGAAACCAGAACACCTCGATCAGTTTAGGAAGTGCTTGATTTGACATGCAGATGACTTTTCTAGGAGCCGAGCACGAATTTTAAATATCAATATTATAGACAATCATTTAATTGTGGGAAGCCAAAATCGTGATTAATATTCGATTCATTGGGCAGCGCTATATGCATCCATGCTCTCGATTGCAGTAGCCTTCACTTGTGTCAGCTCTGGTTATTGTTTTAATAATGCAACAGAGCAGTTCGCCTTGAATCTGCGATGAGCTCCAGTCTCACTCCTGCTGACGTCTTCACCTGAGCATCAGGAACACCTGCTTTGTTCTTGACCCCAGGTAGAGCCAAGTGACGCTCTTTCAGTTGTGTTTAAATTGAACTAAATGTGTATATGTGTTGTGTTGTTGTGTTCAGGTGCATTAACAGTCCTAAAAAACCAGAGTCTGCCAGAAAGCGTCTGTTCTGTCAGTGTATCATCGCCACAACGTGCTGAAAGCAGAAGTCTGATTTGCTCTATATCTGAAGCCAAACCACATCTGGATTGTATGGTCCAGTCTGCAGAATCTGGCAAACAACAGATGGAAAAATACTGGAGATAATGATTCTGACACACTGCTGCCTTGTCTGTCTGTGTGTGTGTGTGTGTGTGAGAGAGAGTGTCATAGTTTTACAGTGCAAATCAGACTGATAATCTTTGTTAAATCGAGCTGGTCTGAATTGTTAACTATAATCACTGACATTGTGATTTTTATTTGTTATTTTTATTCAACAGACACGTTTTGTTTCCACATCTGTCCTCCCATCAGAGTTAAGTGGTTTCTTAACTTCGTTAGTATTCAGAGGAACACTGTGGCTGCACAGGCTGCAGAGTAAAAGCAGCACGCGGTCAGTTCAGCTTCAGTCAGTGTCACACTAGTGATTCTTTGCAATCGATCCAGTTAACATTTGATTTGCTATTTCATCTTCAATCGCCTGACAACAGAAACATTTGTAAATAAGCTGTTTTAACACACAGTATATATGATTATAGTGAGCAACATGTGACTGGAAATGCTAGTATGGACATTTTAAATAAAAGTTAAATATCTTAGTGTAGATAAGGCCTCACTTTTATCCAAGATGTTGCTGTTTATTAGATGAACGATTGAAAATCCACAAAAAGAAGCCCAACAGTCAGCAGGTGATTGAAACGCTGTTGATGCAATGCATTGTGGGAGGGACTTAGAAGACACAAATCAGACTGGATTATGTCAAAACTCCTTACTTCAGCCATTAAACACGGCACTGCTCTTTTCAGCATCCTAGCCATCTGATCAGTGAACCATTTTCACTCCCGGCCTGCAGGTTTCTGAAGTACAGTGTTTGTTTACTGGTTAAGGCCGGGCTGATAGTGTAAAGCCAAACTGTGCTGAGGTCAGGATAGCAGCAGGAGATAACAGTCAGCTGTGAAGCTAAAAGAGAAATTCATTTTAAAACAGTTGTTGCTTTAAAGACATGGCAACACAGTATAAATCGATGTATTTGGGACAGTGTAATTTAACCAGTTTTGCAGTGTAGTCATGACAAGTTGGATTTTATATTTAAAGAGGACAACGCACCACTGAATCTGTCATTTATTTTTGTGTGTGTAAGGCTACAACATCCAATTAGTTTAAAGAAATTAAATTTGGATTCATCTTCCGGGAATCATGAGTGTTATGAGTCAGTAAATGTTATGGCGGTGGAGTTGTGCAGCTGCTTCCTGAGCCAGTCTGAAATTTGTTAGGCGGGATAAAAAATGGGGATGTAATCTTTCTGTGCGAGAGAAGAAAGAGTGTGGATTAGTTGGTAATAGCTGTATTGAAACATATTTTGTCAACGTTAACTGCTCCTAAAACCAACTACTACAGCTTCTGTGTCGACTGTCAATCAGGACTGTCCGTTTTCAAATTCAACAACTATTTACGAATTAAAAAATTATGTCTGAATTCTAAATTCAGTGTGTAAACGCAACAGGTTAGTCAGTAAACTAAACTATTGTTGTTCTTTTCACACAAAGCTGTGCTGAACAGACAATCGCAACACCAAATCTCAGTCAGTTATCTGCTTGTCATTCAGTAGTAGTGGTGGCACCTCAAATGTACGCCACGTAAATTCTACAACATAGTTTACCTCAATATATTCTTTTGGCACCACCAAAAATAATAAAATATGTTCTTATCTGGTACTTGTCTGGTCAGTTATTCTAGTTGTTTGTTTCATTTAATCTTTTTTGCCACTGTTTCCTGAAAAACAAATTTTTCTGCTTCTTCGGGATGATGAATTGCAGTCACTAAAACTTTCCACACATCTCATTAGAATCACTACATGATAGGGTTGTTTTTTTTGCATTTACAACCAGTCTGGTGTATTTGGTTCTGCTCAAGATATAATCAAACCACATCAATCAGCACTGGTACGACCAAATCAGTAAATAAAAATATCAAACCAGGAATCAGTCTCTTTCTTTCTCATGTCTTTTTGGTAGTGCTCCATTATATGGGAGGGTGCTGCCATGTTTCCATCGGCTCTGTGTGGAATAACAGTCGTCTGGAAACTTCACCCGGCTGCCGTCTAGCCCCGGGCCCCCACGGAAAACTCTGGAAAGCCTTTCACATAATGTCCCAGTCTCACTCAGACAGAGCGAACCAGACCAAAACAATGATCTTTTTTTTTTTTTTTGCTATTGTCATTGTGATATACAGCACACTTTATAAGAAAACAGCTTTTAGTAACCCACCTTTTAAAGCTTTTTGGTGGGTAGTTTACTTTGCTTTGTATGAATGGTAGACCATTTAGAGATACAACAAGGTTCGGTGATACATAAGGTCACATTTTTGTCACACCTTTACTGATCGACGATCCAAATCATCACCTTTGAGGGGGCAGAACTAATCAAGTCCAATAAGAATGTTTTAATAATTTGTGCAATATCATTTCAGGGTGGAGGAGAACAGGGATCTTCTGCTGTTCTTCAGGACTCTCCGGACTTTCACAGACAGATGTGACGACCGGTCCAGAACCTACCAGCACTTCAAGGTAAGTGAAGACCAACCTGAACAGAAATGGACTTCAAACAGGCCTGCAAACATCTGCCTTTCGTTTTGTTGACACACTGATACATACGGAGGACTGACTCTGGATTTGACCAGGTTGGTCCTTTCCTCCTAACACCACAGATTTTTAGAAACATGTCAGCATTTTAGCCAAGTGAGATCTAGCCTTTCTTTAATTGCTTGTTTATGAGTCTAGAAACTCAATGGAACATTTTTGACTTGTTGTTTAGTGACATGTCAGCATCGTTTAGTGGAGGACAAGATACAGCAGTCCATCCTGAATTCTTTCAGCGGGGAGACCAGATGGTCTATCAGTCAGTGTGAAAGCAGACAAACCTAAATGGGAACTTTAGGCTGGATTTGATCTTTAACCTCTGACTGACTCCTGATGGGTTTCACCCTCATCCGTCAGTGGAGGAGGCTTGTTGACTTGTCTAACATAGAGGTGTCCAGAGTCCAGAAGACACGGTTTCTCTTTGTGGCTCAGAGTGGACTGGCTCCAGGGTTTATATTTCAAAACAACAGTAAAACTCTCACACTGGCTTTGTTTTGGAAACCCTTTACCACCCACTGTTCCACTTACGGGACTCGTTATTTAGAACTTTCACAGACTCCCAGCATGTGTTGAACATGCAATATTTATATATGGATAGATTTGACTTTTTTTTTTTCTTTTTGGTTATTGTAGTTATTTTCAAAAGACAATGCCTTTGTTGTCAAACTAATGTAGGTGCAAAATATACATCTGAAGCCTTAACACATGGTATCTTCCTATCTTCAAAGCAGTGTGGCAGCTCAACAGTGTAAGCCTGACAATGAGGTTTAATGGTTACTTGAAATGAAACTGAGTCTGAGCTCCCAAACAAGGTATGAAAATCTTTGTTAGTGCTGTTCTTCAAAATTTTGGAAACATTTGATATCCAGGCCTAACTTTGGGTAAGTAAGCAGAAAGATACAATAGCTTGATATAGATGGATGGGTGAATGTATGGTTGGTTGGACATAGATACAATAAGATAGATACTCTAGATATGTAGCTGTCTGAAAAAGAAATCTAATTTCCTTTGAATTATAACGCCAGCCTTACCATGTGTATGTGGGTTTACATTACGTCACCAATTATGACAACAGAGAATATAATTTTAAAGTTAAAATCTGGTTGTCAGCTCTATGTCAACCATGAAGATACAATAACCCCTCTAGAAATGTTCCACTTTATAAAGGGGCTATTGTTTGTAAAGTGCTTAGATTCAGGAAGATGACAGAAGAGAGGAATTAATGTTAATGCAGTGGGTGTGAATTGGTGTGGGCATGGTAAATGTCAGGGTGGGACTTTATTAAAGAGGTAGCAGTAAAATGTCAAACAGTAAATCAAGCTGCAGAAGCAATATGGAACCTATTCTCCTGTTTACTTGGAGAATGTAACATTCTGCCAAGTTGGCTGGGCTGAAAGTGGATTAACCCACATTTTCCATACTGGCCTGTGTGCTCTAAACTCTTATTTTGCTTTAGTTGCATTTTCTTCAGTGTTATTATGGAGAAAATGTAATTCCCATTGTAACTGTTCTGCTGTAATGTGGGCTGTGCCTTGTATGCCGATTTCCATGCTTTAATGACACACAGACATGAACATGTATTTAGAGGAATAAACAAATAAAGATATAAAAAACAAAGAATTCACATACAATCAAGGCCAGGAATCTTACAATTTTTGTTGCTGGTAGACCACGACATTAACCAGCCAGTCACTGTACGACTACAAGACTGCAGATGATGGTTGGCTGTGTAGCAGTTACAAACCACAGACATTTACAAGCATGTGGCCAATCACTGATTGGCATCTCTCCCTTGAGGACATATTAGTGTCAAATGTCTCTGCACTCAGACGCACAATCAAGCACCACGGCTCCAGACTAACCTTTTCCACTGGTAGCACTGATGCTACTAACTTTCCCAGTTGGTTGCACCAGCACATGATTTGGTCACACCATGGTATTAATCAATGACCTTACATGATGATGATGTATAGATGCTGTTAGTAAAGCCCTGCCACTGAAATCTAACTCTAAGATGTTTTTCATCCAGCCTTGACAGTGAATTAATATTTATATTTGTGATATAAATTGCCATTTTATGCAGGTTGAAGATTAGGTGCAGATTACAACACCCTTGCTGCATCCTCCCATTCAAGCGTGTAGGTCAGGAGAAACTAGTTGCCACAGAGCCTGTGTTTTGTTTGTTCTCGGCTGATGTACAAAGACAACAATTCTTATTTTCCGGTGA